TAGAAATAGGACCACTAGGGGAGTTGGCCAAAAACCCTGATTCAAAACCATCCAAGAAGAGGCGGAAGGGAAGCAACACCAGGTGTTTATTCCTCATTTAAGCGTATGCACCGATCAACTGCAGTTCTGACGCACAAAGGACGAGTTTTATGATAAACTCATCGAACTCATTCGGTTGAGACGAAGCTTCGATATAGTTGTCCTCGCAGGCGATTTTAACGCTTACGTTGGAAAACTGAGCGTATCGGAAGCTTGCCTAGGCGGTCATTGTGCTCTGCCCTACCAGCGAACAGATAATGGCGATCGACTTATTCAGTTCTGCGTGGACCATCATATGTTCGTATCCAGCACCAACTTCCCACACAGCTCTCAACGGACAGTAACGTGGCGCTCAAATTCAACCGGCACGTTAACTCAGATAGACCACATAGCGGTAAGCTACCACTGGCGTAGCTCATTACAAAACTGCAGGTCTTATTGGACCACCTGCGTTGAATCTGATCATGTGTTAGTTTTGATGCAGTTCACTCTCCAACTCACTGGTCGCAGAAAATCCCACCAAACTCGATTGGCAGATCATCGTTTATTTGACTCAGCCGTTCGTGCCCGTTTTGAATCAGAACTAGGGAAAGAGGTAAACGCACTGGGTGGTAAAGTAAATGAATAATGGGATCAGATTAGCCGAGCAATGCACTCCGCAGTGAAGGTTGCTTGTGGATCGGAAGCGGTAGCTCACCCGAGGCATTGGATATCCGATCAGTCAGTAGCACTGATGGAGAAAAAGTGGCAAATCCCAACCACCCGGGATCAAGGCAGAGTTAGGTGGCGTCTGCAAGGTAAACTCAAGAAAAGCCTCAAGAAAGACCGAGAGAACTGGTGGGCAACGATAGCTAGTGAAATGGAAGTAGCAGTTGCATCAGAGACTGTTCCAACTGATACGCAATACGAGAGGTCGGCGAACCACAGTTAGTGAAACAATCTGCGGACAGGCTATTCACAACAGGGAACAACGGCTTGACCGGAGGGCGGAGTACTTCAACGAGCAGTTCAGCTG